TTTCGAAAAAAAAAATTTTTCGGCGAAAAAATCAAACTATTTAGTCTATAATCGAAAATAATCATGATTATTGCATGAATATTTTTCACTGGGCACAAACCCCACATCCACACACACCACACCCAAAGTACACGGGAATCATGCTTCTTCTTTTTGGCTTAATAAGTGTAAAAGAATGAGATCACATCACTAAAATTCTTTAGATAATGACCCAATTGGATGCAATTTAAACAGCTTCCTCATGTTTATTAGTGTTTAAATTAATTTTATTTCATCTGAATTATTTATGAAAGAATTCAAATTAAAGAAAAGAACCGTATCCATTTGTATCTATTCTTCATTAGCTCGTTGCATAATAGTCATACAAAGTGCAAGTTGTTTGTGCTCTAAATGTTGCTTTACTTGACTAAGAATTGTAATTTTTGTGGATTCAGGTTCACCGGAATAGTAAACTCGATAAATATGATAATTTGTTGGGTGATTAAGTAAACAGTTAATTTCGCCAATCGATATTCTAAATGTATGTTGATCATGAATTCCTGTTGTTTTCACTTCGATTAAATCAATCTGATTGTTTATTTTCATTTCAATATCATATGGAAGACCTGATTCCTTATTATTATTATTCATCCATTTAACATGCGCATTTGGATATTTCCATTTTAGAAATCGAAAAACAAGCTCTTCACCTTTACGACCGAGAGTATTATCAATTTCGTTATTAATCGGATTAATTGTAATTGAAGATGGCGACAATGAATAAGGATTTGAACCAATGAGAGTCGAGATTTGAATACGTTCAAATTTTTCTACTTCAACCGAAGTAGAATTCGAACAGTCAACAGTAGCAGCTTGTATTTGACATGTATCAGTTGATTTTGCGGTTGACTTAACAGGTTGCTCATCTATTCAAAAATGAAAGTAGAATTATTAGTAGGATATTCTCTCGAAATGGACTTACTTTTAATCGTACGATTATTATCTGATTCTTTTGATGAATGCGAAACTGAACTAGAGGATGTTATATGGTTGGAATCCGGAGAATGTGATACATTTACCGATTGTTTGTGCTCTGCCGGATGAGATGTGGTATTTGAAAATTCTGTTAATTCTTTAGCGTTGGCTTTGGCTGGAAAGCAACGTGGATTATTCTCGTCATCTTGTTCAATTTTTCTCTGTAATGGAGCTTTTTGTTCGGGTAAAGGTTCATTCATCAACTTTTCTATCATCTCAGTTAATTCTTCAGTCTGTTCCTCATCCGAAGAAATTTCTTCACTTGATGATGATGATGACGATGAAATGGAATAAACATTTGGAAATGTCCATCTGTCATTATATTCTAAATTAATGATACTTTGACGTTGATTTATTAAACCTTGTGTACTCTCATTATGATAGATTCGTGAGAGCTCCATCATATAGGATGTCAGTTCGATTTGTGCCACCCGATCGCGAACAAGAAATGCGACCATAGTCTCAATGTAGCGCTTTTCAAATTTTTCAATTTGTTTCAATATATAAAATTGGCCTGCTTGTTCGTCAATGTAAGTGTCACATGTTTCTGTTCGTACGATATCAGTTTCGTACTTGTATGAAAGTTGAATCTTATCGACACAGACAAAATGTAGACGAGCAAATATAGATGCTAAATATTTTGATCGTTCTTCGGTTATGAACGATTTCAAAAGAAGGAAATTTTGAACAAGTTCAATCGAATGAAAAAAGAAATTGAATAGGTCAACGGATAGCTGTTCGTTATCAACATGAACTTGTAATTGAATAACATCTGCTAGAGATTTAATTTCGAAGAGAAAACAAAAACTATTCTTGAATTCTAAAGGCAAGGCCCAATCTAAAAAAGTAAAGACATCTACTATACATCACTTTTTTCCGCAATCTTATTTACCTGGTAATTGAATAATGAATAGTTTATTTGCCAATTTCTCGGCAATAACAAAATCATGTGGATAGAATGGTTGATCACTATATTTGGCTTTTTTATTTTCGCACCCATACAAGGAATAAATGGCAAGTCGAAGCATCGCTCTAGAAAAAAAAAATGAAGATTATTAGTTTTGATAGTGACCATAATGTACCTTTAATTTCTATCTGTCGATTTTGTTGAAATGATAAATCCATGATCACTTTAATAAGTCTCCACGTATTATTGATGCTTAATATCTGTGATAACAGTGGAAAATAATCATCGATGGTTGGTTCGAATGCGATTTGAAATTCTTGAAGAAAGAATCCTTGCAATTTAATATCATTGTCATAGTATCGTTTAATTGAAATACGACGATTTAAATTCAACAAACTGATATCATCAAAAGGTGATAATAATGATGTTGAATCTTGCCAATAGACTTGATGAGGAAATACGAAGTAACCTCTGCCATTGTTTTCTGGTATAAATACGAGTGGCCAGTAACAAAAATAGCGTAGATAATTGCGAGTGCAATTGTCAGCTAGAAGAAATCGATAGACACGTCGAACATTCTCAATTGTATCGTCGAACGGTTGACGAAATGTTTCTGCTAGAGGACAAGGTATTCTAAACGAGAAAACCAATGATGAAGACTGATTAAGACTTGACGACTTGCATAATTGCTGCTTCAGTGATATTTTTAGTACGCCTTTAAAAACCTTTAAATACTGGAAACTGTCATACTTATCATTTCTACAAGTCGATGTTTGTCATATGCTTAGAGTTTTACTCAAAACAAGAGAGTTTTTCTAAATATCATAAGATACCTATTTTTAGAATTTTTATTCTACCCGACACACGCGATAAGATCGAAATCGAAATTTCTCTCGGATCTGAATAACCTATGACGAATTTCATTCTACGGGTCTACTCACACGTTTGCATGGTTACTTTCACTTAATAACGCCAATAGAACGTCACGATCAAAACCACATGACCATTTCATGAATATTTCAAACATGGTTACAGGTAGAACATGTTCTTTTAGTCCAAGTATATTCAATCTAAAGTCTCGATTATTCAATGATAGCTTCGTTTGATCTAAATGAGGTATATAGCGATGAAAGACTGCTGTTTCACTCTTCGGATGTAAGCAATAAACATCATCTGGCTTAGCCAATTGATCACCTTCAATGGGTATCCAAGCATGTTGTCTCAATGATAGATAAAATGTTGATGGGATGCCTTTTTTTGGTTGTCTACGTCCAAATTTTACTTGATCCATTAAATTTATTGATGCCGTATAGAACTGAGATAGCGTAGCATGATGACGATCCAAGTATATCAATAATTTCGTACACAAATCAATATCAACAGCAATATTGTTGCATGAAGCTATAAGTGTATTAAATTCATTACAAGAACAATCTTCAATTGTAAATGGTTGATGAATCATTTCATTCAATTCTGGAATTAAATAATTCCATTGAGTATTTTGAAGTGAATCAACATTTATGAAGTCTAATAAAAACAAACACTTTGAGTCGACATAATGAAATATATCAGATACATACGAGTTTCAGTTATACCAACTTGAAGAAATTCCGTAATACCTAGGTTTTCAAGAAATCTAGCAAAACCTCTTACATCATCATTCGAATGGAACAATTCGGTACGATAGTTATTAATATAATCATCTGAGATAAATGTGAATTCATGTTTGGGCGAAATTAAGGATTCGAGAGATCTTGTACAGGCATATGCGGATGTCAAATGAATGATAATACCTGGTGTATCTAGACGAACAAATTGACCACTGCGAGTTTTGATAACCATGCATTTTCGCAATTGTTCGAGTTCATTTTCAAATTGATCGAGGTATGCATAAATGCACAAAGGAAAAGCAACAAGAACTGAATCAGATACTGTCGACCAACGACTCTTGTCCCATAGTATAGGTTGCATATGTATTCGATAAATATCCATAATCTTGGGTTTGTCAATGATACCTGTGCCAATGATTTTTTTTTAAGTAAAACAAAAAAAAACATTACGCGAAGAAATTTTTAATACTTACCAAGTTTTTTAAGTAAACATACAATTGAGTCATATCGCCGTGCAAATTTATCTTCAATATATTCAATTAATCGTTCGTCGAGTCTTGGTAAATCATTAAGAATGATTTTGAATGGTTTCTTATATTGAGCTGTTTTTGGTAATGGAAAAAGTATCACTTGATCCTTATATTCATCCATTGATACTAATTGTGAATGACCGCTTAACGGAAAAATTTTCAGTTGTTTCAATTCTCTTAGCTTTGATGCCTCGATCTCTTCGCTATGTGTACCACTATCGCGTAACTGTCCATTTTCTTGCTGTTGTTGTTCAATAATGTAGTTAATGCAGAGCAACCACTTGGCAACTAAAATATAAATTATGTTCAAAATTTTTAGCAATGAAAGAATCGCTCCTATCTCATTATCTCGCAGAATATCATAATAATTAAATTTCTGTCATGATTGATTTGTGATTCATCTAGTCTCATGCAGTCTTTAACCGTAGTAGTATGCTATGAACTCACTTTGTTCGATACTTGATGTCTTCGTAGAATGTGTTTGTTCATCTTGCTTGTACAATTCTTTGATAAGTCGAATAATAGAAGAAAACTGTAGGGAAGCACATCCTAATCTAATTAGAGTTCGTTCGCTACATTCTGATGCTAACTGTTCAGGTACGTAATACAAATTGAAATGTGACAATAGTAACTCTTGAGGAAGAATTTTTCGTATAAATTGATCTTTCACAAGGACACATTGCGAGGCTTGAACCCATTCAGTATGTACTTGACCATTTCCATCGTCTTGTGCTACTGGTAATTTGATAATACCCATTAGTATTTTCATACTTTTGTCAACAAATGAATTGAAATACGGATCAAGTTCATTGCGAGTCGGAATGAGCTTAAGAAAATACACTAAAACTTGAGTAGCTGCTAAAGAACTACTCATTCCTAATGCAGATAAAGAAGTGAGAAGCTCAGGTAAATTTTTAAAATGTTCATAGGCCAACGGAAGAAGTTGAACCATTTCAGATTTGAGCCATTCATTCCAAAAATTGTCATGAAAAATTTCTTGACGTGTGGCAGGTACTTCGAAATCGGCCTGAAGAATGAAACGAAACCCGTATGAACGAAGTGGCAAATAAGCGAAGAGAGGTTGAGCTAATGGAAGTTGTTGGATCAACTTTTGAAGATTGCTAATCGGATAAGCAATGGCTATTGTGGTCGAATGAACTTCACATTTGACTTCACGAAGTTTCTCCTAAAACGGTAATTATTGAGCATACAGTTCTACAATGTATCCCAAATAATTAACTACCTTAATGTCTTCTGGAACTTGGAGAACCTTTTTAACAACGAGCCAAAAAGTTTTGACTGTTTCTTTTACTGTTTTTTCTTGTAGTTCAATTATTTTCCCATCAGCATGATCAATTCTTGTAAAAATACGAATTTGATCACTATCCGAAGAACTCATTGGTTGACCAACAATTTCAATGCGTCGTAGACGATTGAGAAAGAGTAATAATTTTGCTTGAATATTATCAAAATCTTCTTGAAGTCGACACGATCGTTGAATGGGTAAACGAATACATGTTGTCCATTCATTGGCGCTTGGTAATACTTCTTCACATTTATTCAACCAAATCGGACGAATATATCCAATTTGTTCAGTACCATCGACGGTATCAAAGCAAAAATGATAGCCTTTTGAATGAATCTCGGGACGATTAGAAACCATAAATACTGACTTGAATCCAATGCCTAAAAGTTAAGAGTATTTTCACTAGTTCAATTATTCCACCAAGCAAAATTCTACCTTTGTGTCCGGCATAACCTTGTTTATGTTTGCCTTTAGTTGAGGTACCAACATCGCAGATAGCTTCAACATTATTCCGTTCAAAACCAATTTCATTGTTACAAATTAAGATTCGTTTATCAGAGAGAACAAAACGAAGTGTTGGCAAACAATCAGATGGATATTGATTATCATCAGCATTTTGAATGAGTTCCAAGACGAAATGACCTTTTTCTGAATATAGATCATTAGATAATTTTTGTAGACTTCGCTCAAGCTTCCCTTGATAATTTTTCACAATAGATTGACCACCTGAATCAAGACCACTATCGATACCAAAGCCTCGACGAATCGATTCTATATGTTCGAATCCAGATTGGTTTGATATGTTAGACTCATTCTTTTTGACTTCAGGTGTGTTCGAATGTGATTGACTTGGTGGTAGAACTGGTGTTTGTACTGCTGGAACATGAGTATTATCTATGAAGAAAATAATAAAGATTGTTAACTTATCATAATTGGATCAAAAATCCCTATTGGGTTTCGCTTATATGAGTTCAATGAAATATTGTCAGTTCTAGCTCAATATTCATAAGCTCTTATTGAATAGAATGTTACAAAACTTTCTTACCTTGAATAATGCTATTATTTGAAGTCACAATATTACTCTGTAGTGCAGATTCTTGGTGTTCTTCGATCGAGTAATCCTGTTCCAACCATTTCTTGTTATTCTTCCAATCCTCAATATCCAGCGTACAACCCCAAATTTCTAATTTATTCTTTTGTTTTTCATCCGCTAATTCCCATATTTTTTTTCTTGCACTAACTGTTCCTGGCCCACTACTCCGAAAAACGTCATCAAGAAGTACAAGTATAATTTCTTGAATAAGTCTTGCTTGCCCGATAAGTATTGGCAGATAGGTTAAAAAGTCGAGTACATATTGCATCGGTTGTCGACTATTACCCGATGTCATGCATACTGATTGTAAATGAATGAACCATGTCCGCATAGATGTTCGATAGACGTTTAATGGTATTCGAGCAGTTACACCGTATTCACAAGTGATTAGTGCACATAGGTGACCGACAGCTGAACGTACACGTAGTGCATTCAACTCTTCTTCGAAACTCTTCAGAGTAGCATCGCTAGGCAAGCGAAGAAGTTCATAACTGGATGTTTCGAGTAGCAACAGATGCTGTAGTGAATACATGTGCTTTCTAATGAATGATTTCATATTGCCATATTTTGGTTCAAAGAAATAAGTCCATTGTAGCCAGCAGTATAAATTGGTCATGATTGGACATTGAAGAATAAATTTACAGAGCTGATTTTCGTCCGTGATTGGCATTAGTGGACATGTATCGATTCGATCAAGATGATTAAAATCCAAAAGCGACTCTTCAAAACTAAAAGTTCCATAATATATCGAGTATCTATCGATAAGAATTATACTTACCGAATTATAGAACATGCCATATTTAAATGGGATGATTTCTTGGTTTTGTGAAGAATATTTCTTCCTGACCGAAAACCAAGTAGTCCGCCAAATTTATGAATTATTGCTTTTTCCAATATCGATAATCTATCAGCATTAATTTGAATATCTTCATTGTTCGAATCCATATGAAGTTCTACACTTTGCGAAGAGATATGTTGCTTATCACTGTTTGATTCGATCAATTGATTCGTAAATTCAAACAAATCTCGTCGATCTGTTATAGGCACATTATAACCATAAACAGAAAGTTCTGAATTCGGATCGATTAACTTTTGATGAGTATTAAGAAAAGATACTATATTGGTATCAGTATCATCATCGTCATCACCCGTATCGAATTTCAACTCAGCAAAACTGTCAAGACGATATTTAGTACATAAATGATTTTCGATTTGTAGCAACTGTTTGATTGTAGGAGCGTTTTCATAATTGATAAGAATTTCAAACAGATAAGAGCATACTTGTTTTAAATCCACAGTTAATTTTTTTCTATTTGGATTAGTTGGTGGTAATGCATTTGCACCTGAAGTATTAGTTACCGAATGAGACCAATCATTTATTGCTGATGGCTACAATCCAACATAAACTGATTTAATAAAAATTGTCTAGATATAATGCATAATAGGTTTTCGAACAGACTCTTCACCTCTATTGAATGAACGATTTTATTATAAGTATAGCTAAAAGGTTTATGAGAATTTGTTTTTTGAAACAAGAGTGAGCCATATGCACACTTTACTTTTTGGCCACGATTTAGCTGGGGTTGTGGCCAAGAAAAATTAATATATGTTGTTTTTCAACGTCAAATATATGTCTACTGTTCAACAATCATGTCGTTCATAAATTTTTCTTTTATCTTTTTGATCCTTTTGATCTTCTATTCTCTCTTCTTGTTCTTCTCTCTCTCTGCTCTTCTCTTTCATACTCTTTCTATTGATCATGATCTATTCGATTGATTAAAAATGATAAGTGAATGTAGCTTGCATCACTATCGAACAGAATTGAAGATTTTGAGATGCAGTGCGAATTTATATCATACCAAAAGTAATGGTTTTTTTAGAGACAAACAGCTATTTATTGAATAATATAGTACAAAAAAAACTGAGATTTTGACAAACAGGACAATCAATGAATTCAATAAAATTCTGGCTATCTCTAAATACCACTACTTTCTTATGATATAAAAACATTGCGCTTAAAATGAAATCATACTCAGAGATATCAAACTATTCATTTCTATTCGATATTGATGCAAGGTATATTTGATTATTATTTTTAATCGATCGAATGGATCTTCATCAACAAAAAGAGGATGAAAGAGAGGAGCAGAGAGAGAGAGAGAGAAAGAGAACAACACTAAGAGAGAAAAGAAGATCAGAAGGACGAAAAAAATCAAAGAAAAGCGTTGGTAATAAAATGATTGTTGAAAAGTTGTTAATGAGAATGAATAATCGATATAAATGAACATGTTTTGGCCACGATTTAGCTGGTATCGTGGCCAACAAGCAACGTGTGAATATGGCTCATTGAAAGGAGTATACAAATGTATAAAAGAAAAAATTTGAACTCCTCCCCTCAGACCGTGACGGACGGATTTTAGAACCATCAAGGACAGCGGCAGATGAATTTTAGTAGCATGGAGCCTAGTGCCAGATGGTTTCTGAAAGCATGATAAAGAGTGACTAAAGAACATGAGAATCATCACATGTTTTAACAAACATATTAAATAGAAGAATAGTGGTTATAAGTCCTTAAAATTTCATCAAATATATGAACGACTTGCTTATTGAAATGTTCGGCTACTAAAGAGCTTTTGAGGTTTTTGAAACAATAGTTAGTATGTGTTTCACATTTGCAATCGGGCAAGAGATTGCGCTAACAGGTTTTTACTATAAAACCGGCTAATAAAGTTCAGTTAGGACATATGCTATTAGAATTCATTATTACATAGTTGACGAAACGTTGAAATAGAATAAACTATTAAAATTGAGTTTCCAAAGATCGATATAGATGAAATTTTTGCAATGTGTAAAAAGAAAGGAAAAAGAAATGATTCTGTAACTGAAGCATCAAAATGAAAAGATTCCTTTCAAATACAGCGACTTACATACTGTCCATATGTCAAGCGGTTCTGTTGTTGTTGAATCATAGCTTCAAGTCGTTGATGATCCCTCTCACTTATGTCTGGATCAGATGGTAGCGATTGATAAAATTGCGTCAAAATTTGTTGTCTCTCATGGTGATTTTGATGACCAAGGATTCTTTGGAGTTCAGCAATGAATGTCTCAGGTTTTTGAATACTACCCAAATAGATACTAATATTCAATAGCCATTGAAGTAATTCATTCTGACGAAGATGAATCAGAGTAGCATAGGTAAATGTTTGTTCAGGTATAAAGGAAAGATATTTTTCTACAGTTGAAGCTAAATGATTGAATACGGCTATGGGAGATTTTTTCTTATTGTAGGCCGAGAGCTCAAGTTCGTCGCGCATTTCTTGCTTAAGCTCGGATAAACGTTCTTCAATAGTGCTGGTCAATTCTTCTACTGCTGCAGTTTGTATTTCTTTAATATACCAGCGGGAGTTTCGCTTTACAAGACCAGATACCTAAAATGATTCAGTCGATTACACAATAAAGAATGAAAATATTTATACTTCTATCAAGTATGGGAATGATTTACAATAAAGACCAAGTTCTTTTCGTGTTCGTAAATGGTAATAATTAACGAGTGCATCGAGAAAATTACCAATGACAACATTTCCTTTAGAATTTTCTCGAAAATCGATGAAAAGTGATATAACATCACCACTAGTCATCAATGGAATTGGTTGATGCCGTCGAGTTGGTTCATAACAAAACACTCGTTTGACATCCGGATTTTCGCTGAGCGGACCCAAGAGCGCATCTTCATACGTATCGACTTTGATAAATCTTGCCAATATCGATCCGATATCATGTAATGTGCATAGCATGAAAACTTGCTCGAAAATTTGCATATAGAAAGCCACTTTTTTTAATCGATCTGTTAGATTTACTAAAGGTTTCAGCTCGCCAGGATGAACATCTAACCGGCGCCAAGAGTTGACATGATAAAAATTGAATAATTCACTTTGAACACGTTCTCGTGAGACAAATTCTTTGCTTCTATGAATATTTGCTATGATTTCAGCCACCTTGCAAGAGACTTGTTGTTTATAACTAGATATATGTTGAATTTGAAAAGAACCTAACACGAAAAAAAGTTATACGTTCTGTTACAGTCACATGTTTACATGTCTTGGCTCACTTCGTTCTTATCGATATCTGTTTATTCGAGTCGCATTCCTTGCCGCTTTATTCTTTCTTATACATTGTCCTCTCTTCTCTCTCGCTAGTTAGTGTACCAATTCGAATAAAGGGACCTTCTAATACATTCTAAGGATAAAACCTTTCAAATATCTTTTTCGTATTTAATCACAATATCCTGCATGAGAAAGTCGCTCCAACAAAGTTGTATAACAGAAAGAATCCTGATTAAAAAAACTTCATAAAATTTGTCTGATATTTCGATTCTGCTGGATTGCTATTGATAAGTGCCTGAGCCCGAAACGGATCGCCTGGTCCAACATCTCTTTTGTGATCCACACGGTACCGTGTATTTATCAATACATGAAAAACAGTTTCGAATAGAAGTTTTGGCATACCTCTAACTACGTTACGATACATATTTTGCATGGTTTTCAAAAATAAACGCGAGTAATGTTTTCCAGAAGCTGCTCGGCATAACTGGTTTTGTCTGAAACCAGTTTCAAATAATGAATTCAGCTTAGTTAATCCTTTACCCTCGAATGTCAACAGGCGTGGGCATCGACAAAATCATCAATAGAAAATAACGAACTATTTGTTCCAAAACCAACTTGTCGTTGATCGCAAGGAACTTCAAGAGCTATCAATTTGTTAAAAAGACTTCGGTTTTTTCTGCACTTTCAGCCGAGATATTAAAATTACAAAAGTAAAAATTTATGAGAGTGAGGCCTACAATGTTCAATTCTATGTGCTCTCCAGAGTCTTCATTCTTTTCGTGATTCTAAAATAGATATTAGTAAAGTAAGTACCGAGGAATGGGTATCATTTACCACAAATAGAAATCCACAGACACATCTATACATCATATCCACACTTGTGGTGAATAAAACAAATATGACCCATTCTGGTGACCAAATAGGGATTTTCAATTTAGGGATTTTCTTTTATGTACTATATGCTGTTCAAGTCACAACCGAACAAGGTCCCAGTTAGGGGTTCATCAGTACCAGTATACTTGGTACTGGTAACACTGGTGACCAGAATCATCTCTCCGAGTTTCTTATAAGCGAAATTACTTTTCAAAGTGATTCTAATGAATATTGAATATGTATGATTCTGGTAACCACAANAGAAAATCCCTAAATTGAAAATCCCTATTTGGTCACCAGAATGGGTCATATTTGTTTTATTCACCACAAGTGTGGATATGATGTATAGATGTGTCTGTGGATTTCTATTTGTGGTAAATGATAACCAACCGTACCGAGTGGGTCATAAGTAAGTAAGCAAAGTATTTTTTCGATTTGTATCTTATAGAACGCCAGTTACATTTCATATTTCTACCATATATACTAAGTGATGTGAGTAATATATGCAACATCTAAACAAAATCTGGATTTCATAATTTGTTCAGAGACATACATACACAACATATAGGACAATAAGAGAACATTGATGAATTTAAACAAAACTTTTATTATAGGTGGAAAACAAAACAATGACATGTGTAGACGTATGACTTTTTAAAGTATTTTGACTACAATATTTTCATAGAAATTGTTCAATATGTTTACCTTCTAAATCTTTGCAAAGCTGAACCCTCTCGAGCACTGACTGACAAACAGTGCGACATAACTGCGCTGGTAAGTTTTGAATCTCATGTCAGCATGTCAGTGATTATAGCATCTTCAAGCGTTTGAAGATTTGGAGGCCTTATGGCATATACGCGATCTTTGATCACACTCCACAAGAAGAAATCAGTTGGTGTGAGATCGGGAGATCTTGCCGGCCACTCAATCCATCCACGTCGACCAATCCACCGATCAGGAAATGTATCTTCCAAAAATTGTCGAACAGATCGCGCATAATGAGCCGGAGCCCCATCATGCATATAAAATGTTTCGTCTAAATTCATTTCTTTCTCAATGGCAGGAACAATATTTTCTTCAAGCATATCGAGATAGTTATCTGCAGTAACATTGCCATAAAAGAAGAATGGTCCGATAATGCCTCCACTCCAAATTCCAGCCCATACAGTAATACGTAGCGCATTCATTTCTTCAGTAATGACGACGAGAGGATTTTCCATCCCATAATAAACACAATTATGCCGATTGACGTGGCCATTTAACTTGAAGATGGCTTCATCTGACCAGACTATACGATTAAGAAAGGAGGAGTCAGCAGCTATCAAGTTCAAAAACGTGTCAGCAAATTCACAACGTCTGTTAGGACCATCTTCGTTTAAAGCATGCAGTAATTGAGGACGGTACGACTTTAAACGCAGTTACTTCATCATTCGTCGAAGACTAGTTCGAGATAAATTCAATTCTACGGCAGCTCTTCTTGTTGAGCTTTCAGGATTTTGTTGAAAATTGAGTCGAACACGTTCTCTGCTCATGTCAGTGGTAACAGATCTGGATCGACCAGGCCTAGCGACATCCTCGACGCTTCCAGTTTTATCGAATTTTCGTACAAGATCTAGAATGACTTTTCGCGTTGGAGGGTCACGATCAAATCGGTGTGGAAATTGACGAGCAAATTCAGCTGCATTTTGATAAATGGCATACCATTTCACAACTTCAATTCTTTCTGATGACGACAAACGAAAACTTCCACTCATAGTGAAAAAATGTTATGTTGAAAATTACACAGTTATAATTATGAAATCAACATAAAATATAAAAATGAATTGGGAATGAGCCACTCTATTAAATAGATCACCACTAGCACTGTTGCTTCCTAGATGCCTCCGTAGTACATATACAAATGCCACAAGAGAGCAAAAAGTAGTGTAGATTCTATTGTCCTATATGTTGTGTATGTATGTCTCTGAACAAATTATGACATCCAGATTTTGTTTAGATGTTGCATATATTGCTCACATCACTTAGCATATATGGTAGAAATATGAAATGTAACCGACGTTCTATAAGATACAAATCGAAAAAATACTTTGTTTACTTACTTATGGCCCACCCGGTACTTATGAACTGCATCACATACTTTACGAAAATGATTAATAAAATGTTAGCTAGAAGATATACCTGACAATTCTGTGCCGATATTGATGGCACGCTTCGATGATTCTCCTTCATTCTCTTTCTGTTCTCTTTCCATTGTTCTAATATCTCTCTCCCCTGTCTCTCTTCTATCTCTCTCCTATATATACGTGTGTTACGTATAAAGTCGTTACACTCTGGAGATGTCAGATGACACAATACACCATCATGCCGACGGGCATAGGCGACACTCTCTAGTTTTGTCGTTACACTCTGGATAACTTGAAGTAGCCTAATAAACATCTTTTCCGAGAGTGGCACAAGCTACTCTAATCAAGTTGTTCGTTACAAATTCAATCTCCACAGGTGTGGACATTCGGGGGGAACGACATGGAATCGATTATTTTCTGTAAATGAAATTGTTCTAGAGAATAGTATATATATATAACATTTTTTGATCATTTTATCGCTTTTTAACAAAAAATTACATACAAAAGAAGATATCAAAAATTTTGTTTAGTATGGCCGAATTTTGAAGGTGCGGATTGTCATTTCATTGGTGTATAGATTAATGGAAGAGAAGCGTCATGAGTCATGGATTCACACTACATCTATTGCGAATTATAATCTGCTCTTTTGCTGTCTAAGCATACAACTTGAAACTCTCCAACGCACCAAAATAGTGCCTAGGTAAATTTTACTTGATTCAAGTAGTATTTATATCAGCTTTATACCTGGTATACACATATTTTATATATTGTAGTGTCTCCATATAATTTCAGTCATCTATATCAACAATTTTGTTTCAAACAGTATGGCTTATTATGATGGCACATATTCGGATAGTGAAGATGATTTTGTAAGTTATATATTAATTACTGATGAAGATGACAAATATTATAGTGGTGATAATAATGATAGCAGAAGTGATATTGGCGATGTTAATTTTGATGTATGCAATGTTACTGTTACACAGGGATCAGATGTATCCAATACATTTGATGATGAAGACAACCAAAATGTTATTGATGATTCATTAACTGATGATTCAGAAGCAGAAATGTGGTCTGGGACGCCATTAAATCCAAAGTTACCGAATTATGATGGAAAATTACGTCCGTCTGATAATATATCATTACATTTTCCAAAAAGTCCATCGCCAATTGATGTATTTCGTTTATTTTTCACACCTGATATAACAGGCTATATTGTTGATCAATCGAATTTATATCGAATGCAAAATAAATTGTTACACCAATATCCAATGACCGAAGATGATTTTTATTGTTTAATTGGATTTTTATATTATTCTTCTGTAGTTCCATTACCAAGCAAATCGGATTATTGGAGTAATTATTGTCGACAGGTAATTGTTGCTGACTCAGTCACAAGAGATCGTATTGATTGCTTGTTGTCGATATTCCATTAAAATAATAATAATATGATCGAAAAAGACAAGGCTGAAAAGATTGAACCCTTAATTCGTCTTTTCAATGAAGTTTGTTTAACTACTGTTCAATCAGAAACTAATATTTCTATTGACGAACAGATGGTGGGATATCGAGGAAAACAGCACCAAAAGCCCACCAAGAGAGGTTTTATATTTTGGACAAGATGTGGTGTAACAGGATTCGTATATGAAATTAAACTTTATCGTGGTTCCAAGGAAATTTGTTCAAATAAAACTCCAAGTATGCAATTACAACGTTTATTACGTTCAACAACAGCTGTTTATGATGAAGAAAAACGTATTGAAGATGAAAATAATGAAAATCTTCGACAATTTGGTTCATCGGGTATGATAATATCAAATTTTCTTGAGCATATACCGCTAGGATCACGAGTCTAAGGGCATTTTGGTTTCAAACTGAATTCTACGCAAAAAAACAGCCCCTCTTGCTTCCCAAATGGTGGGACAGGAGAGCTACAGCAAAACGCATGCCTAACTTCACCAATGAAAAACATCATTCGCCCAGATCGCTCGAATAGAACTTCTTCATTCATGAATTCCATTTGACACCACACACTTCCCACCATTACGTGTGCAACATCCACGCCGACAATCATTTTCAAAGCAGACAAGGATAGATGCACTTATCCAATACAAATTAATATTATAACAAGCAATATTTCCCTTCCACTGCCACAACCATCCACCTACTGCATTTCCCCTCAAAACTTCAAGGTCAAACTCAACAATGTATTCAGAACTCATTCGTCCCCCTATATACCCTTTCTTTTTGGAGGCGGAGAGACTAGGGGGACATATGGATTCATAAGTCCCCCAAGCCCCGTTTTTCTGGCTGAAATAGAGTGGCTTTTTTTTCTTTAAATTCAGTTTGAAATCAAATAGCCCATTGTACAAGAATCACATATATTTGTTGACAATTATTTTTCATCATACGCACTTATTAAAAAATGACCGATCTTGGTTATGGTGTAACTTGCACTTTACGTGCTAATCGTATTAGCAACTGCCCAATACCATCAGAAAAGGATATGAACAGAATGCCACGTGGTTACTGTGAATCATTCGTTTCAGATAATGAAGAATGTAGTATTGTGGCTTGGAAGGATGCAAAAAGAGTTTTATTAGGATCTGATTTTGTTGATGAAGATCCAAATGTTATGTTAAAACGGTGGTGCAAACATCAGAAAGTTTATGTGGAAGTTCAAGCACCACAAATTGTTGATTGTTATAATAAACATATGGGTGGTGTTGATACATTGGGCATGATGGTTGCATTACATCCAATTCAATTTCGTTCCAAAAAATGGTATACAATAATTATTTGGCGTATATTTGATTTAATGGTTATTAAGTCATGGATTTTAATGAAAAATATTAGTGACTTTCTTGCAGATGTTAATGGCGCAGCAAGTGGAGAAAATTCCGTCCTTTTAATTTTAAAAATGAAATTGCTAAATACCTTTTACAAAGACCACAACTACAGCAAACTCATTTTACTTCACCACTATCATCAACAACAAACACATCATATCTTCATTTACAATCATCTGATGAGGAAAACGATAACGAAATCCATGTATCAAGAAAACGAAAGCGTGAATACCAATTAGCTGTTGTCAAAGAATTGTGTTTTAATGGCTTTAATTATTTACCAAAATTTATTCAAACAAAAAATGCTAGTCGTTGCAAAAATGAAGAATGTGAACAAAAACACGTTGGTATTGCATAAAATGCAATTTACATTTATGTTTAACACCTCAACGGAATTGCTTCAATCATTATCACATAAACCGTTGAAAACTGTCGAATATGTATGCTTCTATCTAGCTGTATTCCATTTCTTTTTTGAATAAAACTTCGAAAATATAATATTCATCTTCTTTGTACTTTTTTTGTTATTTGTAAATGACAGAAGTTATGACGTAACTTCAAAAACAACCAGAACAGAAAATTTCAAAAATAGATCAAACTTATGTTCTTCCCCCTGAATGTCCACACCTGTGGACATTGTAGAACTCCACGAAGGAGCAACTTCATATTTTTATCTGTATGACTTAATATACTAGTGACTAGGATTCTTCATTTCATTGGTGAGCTAGTTTATAGCTTTTAAATAAGACCCGTCAGGGGTAAAGGGTTAAATCAATTTTCTTGCCTGTTGTTTCTTGTTTTGGAACGTACGTTGTCTTATTCTGATAAAACAAAAAAAAAGAAAGTAATTAGTTAGGACAGGTAATAAAATTATTTACTTCGACTAGATGATGACTTTTAGGAGCAGTTTTAATTGTTGGTAGTTTTCCAAGCGGCGGGAACTCTTCATCATCTTGTAATTGGAGTACTGATTCAGATAATTCTTGACTTTTTTGAGGTCTTTGATCTGATTCATTGATTTCACCTTTCGACTTTTTGTTAGCTTTTTTTGTAACACTTGCACTACTCATAATGATAAAATACTGAAACATGGGGGAAAATATTACATGAAGTGACTGCTTTTTTCAATTAAAATGGTTTGTGACCATAGGTTTTTGAGTCTATGAGTAATTTGATTTCAGCTGAATTTTGAGTATGACACAAATTTTGACATCATTGTGACTATACTTATTGAAACAAAAATATATAATCGCACATCTTTGATGACACTTTCCGTTTGAAAATTGTACACAACTTTCCAATCCTGCTAGAAGAGCTCAAACATATACTCCATTCTGAATTCTAGATGTCCCATCATATACTCTTATTTGAGAGGTAGGTAACTAGGGAGATTTGTGAGACTTAGTGAATTCAGAATTCAGTAAGTCCTCCAAGCGGCCCACCTCTCAGAAATAAGGGTATATGGTGGGGCTATCTTGAATTCAGAATTCAGCAGGGCCCATGAGTACCCCTAGTCCCCCACCTTTCAAGAAAAGGATGTATGGTTGGACAACTCAAATTGATAATGATGTATATCTCCAAGTACTCTCAGCTGGAAAAGAAAGTAATGTATGATTTTGAAATGGAAATGTTATCAAAGATGTGCAATTCTATATTCTTCTTTCGTAAATCTATTCACGGTAATAAAAAGCCTGCGTCATAGTCGAAATTCAGTTAAAAAATCAAATTGCTCATATACTCAATATTTTAGCGATTTGATAATTACTATGAGATATTTTAACCAATATTACTAATTGGCAAAATAACAAAAGCCTTGTCTGTGATGAAATGGTTGGCCTATTCGGAATACTCCGGAAAAGGCATCTCAACGATAAAACTTATATTTCTTTAAGTGTAAACGCTCACTATTCGAAGATAATTGTAGTCAAATTCTTTTGGTAAACAAGCTGTACATTGAATCACTAGAATGAAGTGCTCACTATATGGAGACAACACAAAGTAGAGATGTTGCCATTTGGTAATAACCGGTCGAAAAAGGTCAAAAATTAGAAATATTTGATTTTCGTTTATCTCTCAAATTGCAATACTTTATAGTTTTATTGCATGTACTCCTCTTTAATAAATCATATTTTATGCTTTCGTTCGTCTGTTGCACACAAAAGATGGAAAGTTTCTAGAAATCCTCTTTGAAGGTTCACCTTGTTTTGTGAAGTATGGATCAGTTACAAAATATTTTAGAGGCTTTTCATTTCTATCACGTGACATGCCAACAAAGATATAAAATATCGTCCATCATATAGATATACATCTGATGAAATCGTAATGCATTGTGAGTTGTCAGGCAAACAAGAATCGAGCCGTGAAACATTCCTCTACTGAACTTAAGGCGAAGAAAAAAACTACTTTCATCGTATATCTATGCCTATTACTACATACTGCTCATAGGGACTAATCGTCTAGGACATCAATCACTATATTTTATGAAACAGGAAACGAGAATAAACAGAAAGGAACTTTTATGGAGTCATGGTTTATACTGAATTTGACAGCATCTTTTAGTTTTATGATTGATCATAATATAGTACATAAGGAAGAGTACTAGTGCTAAGGTTTCCATCAGAATCTGATGAATTAGGCTATTGAAATATTGACACAGAGCTTAACATGAAGGCGAGATGTGGGTGTGAGTGTATCGATGAGCGTAGAAAAAGGAAACGACACTCACACCTGCACCCATACCCTCAGGTCTTATTATGAAATTCGTGATCAACACGCTTAGCCACATGGATCCATCTGATTTCGATGGATGAAAAATGGATTTTTTCTCGACGATACTTGTGGCAGATCTCAGGAATGAAAATTAGTGTTGTCGCTTTTGGTGCATAGACAGTTGAGCCCCGACAGTTGAGTCCCGATAGTTGAGCCTCGTACACTCTAAATAAAAAGCGTTTTCCCGGGAACCCCGAAAAATAGGTTTCCGAGCGTTCGAAAACCCAAAGAGGTTTCCAGGCTGATTCCAAAAACCTGAATACGTTTCAGGACTACTCTCGGATACCTTTAAAAGCGTTTCATATAGGGACAAACCCGGAAACGCCGAAAGGTTTCCGGAAAAAATGATCCGTTTCCAAAAATTCAGAAACCCTACCACTTTTTCGGAAATCCTTCAGCGTTTCCGGTTTGTCACTATATGAAACACTTTTAATGTTTCCGAAGCTCGGAAACCCATTTTTTCCTTCCAAGAACCATTCAAAAGTACCCGAGATTAGTCCCGAAATGTATTCAAGTTTTCGGAATTAGCCTGGAGACCTATTTGGGTTTTCAAGCGCTCGGAAACCTATTTTTCGGGGTTCCCGGAAAACGATTTTTATTTAGAGTGTAACACCTGAGTTCTCGACAGTAGAGCCTCTAGTACTTGAGCCTTTTAACAGTTGAGCTTCCGATACCTGAGCCTCGTGATCAGTGGCGGCGCGACCGGGAGAGGGGGTTCTCCCTCCTACTTTGCAAAAATATGAACTCAATTTTCTCCGATTTTGACAAAAAATTATATCAAATTTTCTCTCGCTTCGAACGCAATATATTGGTAATATTCTCCCATTTTGAAGAAAATGTGTCAACATTCTTTAATTCAGTAGAAAATATATCTGAAAATTTCTCTATTCGAAGAGAAAATATACCCGAGTTTCTGCTCAATTTGTTAAAAATATTTCTCAAATTTGGTTCGATATTGAAAATGTTTTATTATGGTTTTCTCATTGCTGTTTCGTTTCGAGTATTCAATATAAACTGAAACTTTTTGTGTTTAATTTGCCTTTAAAAACTTAACGAACATATAATATAATCTTTTTTTAATTACTTATATATTAATATTTCGATTGCTTATGACTTCTAAGTGATTTTTAAGACTTTCTCCCATTTTGAAAAAATACCCCCTGTTTTTAGCCCTTCACGCCACCACTGTTCATGATAGTTAATGCTTTATTTTAGGTTTACTAAGGATCCGGTCTATAATTCTTACGATTTTCACCGAGTTATTCTGCGGCAAAATCAAAATTAACAATTGACTGATAATTTTGATCATCGTTGATCATGAGTTGATCATTACTTGATGATTTCTAATTTTCCTTTTACTACAAAATAATGAACTTTAATTTAAAAAAAACTTCACACTAGATAAATAACATCAAGTAACGATTTAGTCATGACCAACGATAATAAAAATTGACAGACAATTTTTATTTATCTTTTCTTGTAGGACATTTCGATTAAAAGTTCAGAAAATTATTCACTGGAGGTTTTTCGAAAAGAAATAGTGAAGTTTGAATATAAGCTAATTCAAAAGATTTGAAACGAGCTTCGTTGTACTGCTGATGGATAATATGACGCCGTTGTCGTCTTTAAAAAATATGTAATAGGGAGAGCAATCTAGCGTCCATATGATTAGTGTTGACCATGAATAAAAAAATTAAAGATCTTAATAATGGCTGAACGATTACGAGTTCTAAAACTGGAACAACATTCTGAATGTCAATAAATGAATAAACAGCTCACTTCTTTAACTATAAGTTTTCTGGAATAATAGTACAATAATAATTAGACAGAGCAAAAAATTTGTGTCCCTTTTGATTTTATTATGTTGCTCTTTTGGTTGTAGTAAAATATTTCTTTGACTAAATTTTATACTCAAATGTCGAAGGCTCAACTGTTAGGAGGCTCAAGTGTTAGAGGCTCTAATGTCGGGAGCTCAAGTGTTACGAGGTTCAAATATCGGGGCTCAACTGCCCGAGGCTCAACTGTCATGTTACCGTCAGTTTTTCGAAGCAAACCACATATGTAAACCTCTAGAAATAAATCACCTTGAAAGCTGTTTTAAAAAATGAGCCTTCGTTCTTTCTTGTAGTAAAATTTGAACATAAACTTGGAAAACAAACCGACTTCTAAAGTGTATGAGATGAAGTAAAGATGTGAATCATTTCGATTTGTCATTGCAATCGTTACTTGTGCTTCGTTCACGTTCTAAGAAAGTTTTTTGCTGAAGGAGCTCTGTCGGAAAGAATTTTAATGCCTAGAATAAAATGTAATGTCCCAGACGAATGGGCAGGTTGTTAGTCAAAAATATGAGTTGTTTAGCTTAAACATGATGATAACCTCGACCTTACATGTTTTATAATATTAACTGATGAAAAGGGTATAGTATGAAAAACTGAAGGCAAAAGAATCACATTCTATATGAAGAATACAAAAGAATTAAGGTGGGGGGGTCGTGGATCATGGATTTTCGATTTTATAGTCTCATTCGATAGAGCACATTTTGTTACATATATTCTCCAAATTTTATGTTATTCCGATTCGGCTAGCGTGAGTTATAATCAGATCAACACACCCTCAAGATCAAAATTATGCTCCTGATTGTATCTAGTTTTGAACTGACTTCGCTCATAAAGTAGAAATGAAATAAAAAAATTTCTATATTAATCAATAGAGAATTCTTCGCTCTATCTAACGCATTTTAAAAGAGCTTGAAAAAATGTGCTTTGTTTCTTATTTTACAGTGAATACTTTGACTGAAACAGCATTTTTTTGCTCTCCAATCACTTTCAATTGTTTTTTCACGATCATAAAGAACTTCAAAAACATTTGTCTATATATCGTTTGATAGAGAATTTTAAGCACTACAAAATGACATAACAATATCAAAGAAAAAGCAAAACGCGTGCCAAAATATTTAGGCAATTATTACAGTTGAATTCGATTTTTCTACTTATTTTCAATTTCCAATTGCATATTTGATTGTAAAAGATGCCGAATTCAACATAACTAATACAATATTCGTAATCAGCGTAAAAATATGAGTAGGACAGCACAGATTTCAATGACTTTCATTTATCATCAGCTTTTTTCGATTTTTTACCCGTATTTCCCTCTTAGAAATATGGAAAAAAACGGATGTGTCAGAAACGGCAATTTTATAGATCAGTTTTCTTTCACTAGGTGT